GGTGTTGGGATTAAGGGGATGTACCCACGTGGTGGCTGCAGTTGGAGTGGGGTCTGTGGGATCAGTGGGGGTTTTTAGTGTCTCACCTGCACGTCCTGGCTGTGGAGTCTTCCCCCCACCCTTGAGAGCAGCAACGTGACCCGATCCATCTGCCCATCCCGAGGGATTTCCCTTCCCTGGCAGTGCCACCCTGCCCGAGGGGTGTGGAATGGGAAGAGCTTCATCACAGCCTGCTCAGTCACTTCTGTAGGGCTTGGAATCGTTCCTGATTCAAAAAAAAAAAAAAAAAAAGGTCCCCCCAGACAGGCTCTTTATTTAACTTTGCCCCCTGTGCAGGCTGGGCTGGGGCAGCTCATCCCACCCCCACCCCCCCATCCAGCAGGAATTCCAGCTTTCCCAGCCAGGCAGAGCTGAGGAAGCAGGGATGTGACAGTGTCCATCCAGCCATCGGCCCAGGGAGCTATTTTTAGGGATATTAAGCCTGTAATCAGCCCTTTTGGCCGGGGTTTGTCCTGCTTAGTCAGGATTTTGCCCGGGCAGGGTTGGGAGCAGCGGGGCAGGAGGGCAGTGGCTGCATTCCCACCCTTCCTTATCCCAGCACAGCATCCCCACAGCCAAGGAGGGAGCCTGGCCCAGCCCTGCCTCGCTCCCAACCAGCCATTTCCTGGGAGACTTTAACTCAGATTGGACTGGATGGGCTTTAAACAAATTCCCCGTGTAACTCCAGGGAAATTCCCTCGCTCTGAGCGGCTTGGGGCTGTAAACAACTCCATGCCTTGGATCCTCTGGAGGGCCCTGGGTTTCACTGGCACTTCAGTGGCTGATCTCTGCAGTGTGTGAGTCTTCTTTGCCTCCAGGAAGGTGGCTCAGGCTGCTCCAGCTGCTGCTTCCCGAAATCCTGTGCCGGGAAGGGAATCGGTGCCGCTCCGGTCTCAGCCCTGGAACAGTGGGGATTGTTGGGTTGTTTGTTTTTTGGTTTTTTTTCCCAAAACGAGCAGAACTGGAGGCAAGATGTCAGTTCATATTGACAGTGTTTGTTAGAAGTGGTTTCCAAGCTTCACTGAGAGCTTTCCCAAAGGAAACACGGGGTGAATTCCATGTTTTTCCTGTCGTTCCATGGTTTATGCTCAGTGTTGTTTTTTTTTACCGGGTTGCTGTGTCTTGCCTTGTCTCACTGACTCTGCACTGGGCTTCTTCGTCTCCATATGGACCATAACAAGTAAAATTGATATAAATTCTACCAGAAATGCTGGAATTCTGTGTAGCTGGAGGAATCTCCCGGTGCCTCTCCAGCTCCTTGGGGTGTAAACTCGGAGTGAATTCCTGCAGATGTTCCATCGCTGTCGCTTCCCAACAGCCAAAGGGCTCTGCAGGTCCATCTCCAAAGTGTCTGACACAGCCTGGGTTGGAGCTGAACCCCCAAATGTTCCAGCTGTGTGCCTGTGATCCCTGAGTTCTGCAGGCAGCAGTTGATTCCCACCTTTCCCAGCTTCAAACCGATTGCCAGAGCGCGTTGGTTGCTCTCTAATAATCAGCAATTGCAGCCTGTCCTCTGGCTGGCTTTGATTTGCTTCCTTTCCTGTGGCTGGGTGCAGTTGAGGAGGGTCTGGCCAGCATTTCCTCGGGGATCAGGGACCATGGAATCCCGGAATATCCCGAGCTGGAAGGGCCCCACGAAAACAGGGAGCTTTAGGCCCGAGAGCAGCTCCACTTTCACCCTCAGCCCGTAAGGTTACCTGGTTCTTTTGGGTCTGTGAGAAGTTTGTCACGCACTGTTAGACTTAATTTGGAGTGGTTTGAAGTGAGAGTATTTGCTGATACTCCATGGGTGGTGGTTTTAGGTTCTGCATTGTTTATTTGGCGTGAACTGCAGCGGCACAGGGGCGTGAAACACTTCACTGGTTGTGTTTGGGGAAGGTCTGGGGCTTTCCTTCCCCCCTGCCTCCCCTCTGTGGGTGTCCCTGCTGGGTGCTTGGGTGTGTTTTGGACTGAAAACGGGTGTCACTGTCTCCCTTTCCCTCTCTGTGTCTCCCAGTGTGTGCTGTGCTCTGTTGGTGCTTCCAGAGTGCCAGATCTGTTGTTATTTTTCCCTCAGGTGATCGTGCAGGCGGGTCAGTTTGTGCCACCCCCCCCCACCCAGTGCCTCCTCTAACCTTGCAGCCACTAATTCCCTGCAGCTCTGGATAAGCTTCATCCCCTTTTTCTCCACCCAGCTTTGAATTTGCTGCTCTGGGAGAGGAGTGTTGGGAGTTCAGAGCCCGTGTCAGGCTGGGCTTTGGCTCCGGGGCTGCTGCAGCCCCAGCAGGAGCTGCACTGACAGGACCAGGGCAGTGGTTTTAGGGTGCCAAAAGGATGGGATATTGGGGAGAAATCCCTCCCTGGGAGGGTGGGCAGGCCCTGGCACAGGTTGCCCAGACACCTTCCACTAGCCCAGGTTCCTCCAACCTGGCCTTGGGCACTCCCAGGGCTGGGGCAGCCACAGCTTCTCTGGGAAATCCATCCCAGCCTCTCCCTGCCCTCACTGGGGAGAATTCCTTCCCAGTATCCAGCTGGACTTCACACACCAGCAAACCTGGTGGCCCATCCTGTGTTTCAGACGTGCTACAATCCCTTCCTCCAAAAAAAAATTACCTTTCTCTGTGCCCTGACCAAACTTATTTATTCCATGGGCACCGCCTGGTGTCGGGGATGATGCAAGAGATGCTGGGAAAAGCAAACTCCAGGTTTTTGGGGTTTTTTTTTTAATCCCTAGAAACATTCTGAAAGCCTGGAAGTCCGGAACAGCCTCTTCCATTTTTTTTATTATTTTTTTTTTTTTCTCAGAGCAGTTTTATTTTTGTGAGGACTTGCCAGAGAGTCACCATGTCCACTGATATATTTAGCTGGGAGTGCTGCCGTGACTTAGCAAAAAAAAAAAATCCCAGTCCCAGCCTGTTTTTTCACCCAGGCTCTGAGGGGAGGCTGGAGAAAATGGCTCTGGTGATGTCCCCTGGC